ATATATATATATATATCGTCAAATAGAACTGCCCGGTAAACCGTAGGCAGAGAGGGAGAAGAGGACAACAAACGAGGGGCTATATATATATATATTCTGTTTGTGATGATATATATATATATATATATATATATATATATATTGTCACATCACTACAAACTAAAAGAGCGCACTTTGCGAAACAAAGAATAAAAGCAAAAAACGGGCATAGTGATAACATGCAAAAATAAAAAGAAAAAGAAAAACAAAAAGAAAAAACAAGGGCAGATTGAAACCATTAAATTTCTCATTCTTCTTTGAACTCCACCTCCACTGTGCCTCTCACGTGCAAGGCTCGCCACGTTGATGAATATATACAGGGTCACCAGCCCGTACGTACGGAGGTCCCCGAGCAGACCTCCGTACGTATGGGCGTTCGGGGTCCCGTACGGGGTCCGAACCCGACGGTGTTCGGCCCCCGCCAGAAATGATTTCGGGGCCTAAAAATAACTATTTTTTCTGAATTTTTCTTTGTGAATTCTCTATGAAGTGAGGTACATGCCTGTAAATTTTCAAGTCATTTTGCTAAGCTAAATAAGAATTAAAAATCGCCAAAGATGGCGGTGTCAAACGTGCTCGCCCACGTATTCTTTCACTTTTTACTTTTTGGTTTCACTCTGTTCGGGGTCTAAACAATTTTATTATTTTTTGAAACTTTTTTAATGGGTTTTGTATTATGTGAAGTACACATCTGTAAATTTTCAGGGCATTTAGCTATGCCAAAAAAAAATTAAAAATCGCCAAAGACGGCGGTGTCGAAAACATGCTCGYGCACTCACTAAATTTAATTCTCTTTTTATTTTTATTTATTTTTATTATTAGTGTTTTTTTTTTCGTATTTTATTTTTATTTCAAATTTGGTAAGGAATTCGGATGTAATGCTCAGGCAAGTCTTGTTTAATTTATTTTTCTCCATAACAAATCTTTTTTCAGATTTTTTTGATGATTTTTTTTTTTTTTTTTTTTTTTTGGTCTGCGTTCGGCCCGAACGGCCGAACGCATCCCCAAGGGGTCCCATACGTTCGGGCGTTCGGGTTCGGGCGTTCGGCCCGTCCCAAATGTCAGTTACCCTGTATACACAGCCCCTCGTTTGTTGTCCTCTTCTCCCTCTCTGCCTACGGTTTACCGGGCAGTTCTATTTGACGATATATATATATAGATATATATATATATATATATATATATATGAATATATATAGGGTTCAGCCTCCTGATGAGTCGGTGAAACTCCGACGAAACAGTTTGTCACAGTCCCCCGTTTGTTGTCCTCTTCTCCCTCTCTGCGTACAGTTTACCAGGCAGCTTTGTTTGACGATATATAGATATATATCCGGGCCGTCACTACGCGGCCATGTTGTGCCTCTAGTGCTAGCGGCGTGTCTAGAGTGTACTTCCGGATGTGACAGACCTTTCTTTGTTTCGTGGGTGTTTTGCTGGCTTATGATAGGGTGTGAACCGGCAGTCTGTTTCATCTGAGTTGGGTGATTGATAGTCTGCTTTGATTTTCATCGCAGGTACCTTGAGGGCAGTGGTTCAGGGTATCAGTTGTCGGACAGTCGTTGATGCTTAACCACAACCCGGGTTAAGGTAGATTATCACTTACAGTGTAATCAGCTAGGGAATTCTGCAGACTGTTGAGGGTTCCGCCTCCTGATGAGTTGGTGAAACTTCGACGAAACACACTAGCGGTTAATGGAAGGCTAAAAATTCGGGGGGTTTCGCCGCGTCGCTACAAGCAATGTTGTCGAAACTTTTGCGAACAAACTATGCAGGGTCATAATACAAACATCAAAAAACCAATCAGGCAAAAAAAAACGAAAAAATCAAAATCAATAGTACTATAAAACCCTTTTCGTAATAACTTTCGGAGTTCGCCAAAGCTTTTTTTGAGTTTGGTGTTTTTGCTAAGTTTTTTGTTACTGGTCCAAATACGGCGAAACTGAATACAAATATACCCTAAAGCACATATATAACAGGTAAAAATAAAAACCGAGAAAAAAGTAAAAATTCAGGGAAGTATGGCAGTTTCGGTGAAAAATTCGCCAAAATTTGCCGAATTTTGGGCCTTCCATTAACCACTTCTCACGGAACAGTTTGTCATAGCCCCTCGTTTTTTGTCCTCTTCTCCCTCTCTGCCTACGGTTTACCAGGCAGACAGCCCCCTCGTTTGTTGTCCTCTTCTCCCTCTCAGCCTACGGTTTACTGGGCAGCTTTGTTTGACGATATATATAGATAGATAGATAGATTTTGACGATATATAGATAGATAGACATCATCAAATATGTGGATCTCTCTATCTTTTTCTGTCTCTGGGTTGCGCTCCACTACTCAACACATGCACAAACAATAAAAAAAAATGGTGTGTATCTTCCCATGTTTTAGCGGGAGATTCCTTCTCATTTTGCACTTTTGGTGAGTAATGGTGCGAGGCCCTCAGTCTGTGTACGTTAATGTCTGTCTTCTTGTCTGTGTTCGTCGTTGTCTTTTTCTGTCTTTGTCTGTGTTTGTGTCTGTTTTTCTGTTTGTTTGTTTCTTTGTCTGTTTTTGTTTTCGTTTGTGTCTATTTTGTTTTCTGTTGCTGTCTGTTTTTGTTTCTTTTTTTGTTTGTTTGTCTCTATTTTTGTTTGTTTTTGTGTCTTAACCTTATTCAATTCTTATCTGATCAAAAAATAAACTGAGAACAGACAAAAGCCATGAAGAGACAGATTAAAGACTGTCAGAACACTGATCTGCAGCAGGCATCATAGACCGTGCGTCGAGGATCACGGCCCTCGAGAGAGAGGCGAGAGAAGGTAGGGACGAAGAATCAACAGCAGAAAAGCATAGGGTGGCTATGGGACGAAGAACCGAATCAAATGCATGCAAGGCGCAGATGACGATGGTCGAGACGAGATGGACAAGGAAAGAGCAGAGAAGCAGAGAGACAGGAAGACGCAAAGAAGCACACACACACACACACACACACACACACACACACACACACACACACACANACACACACACACACACACACACACACACACACACACAGAGAGAGAGAGAGAGAGAGAGAGAGAGAGAGAGAGAGAGAGAGAGAGAGAGAGAGACCGGCCAGACACAGACACAAACGGACAGACAGACCAGACCAGACGCAGACAGTCCAGACACAGACAGACCAGACACAGACAAACCAGATACAGACACACCAGACACAGACACACCAGACACAGACAGACAAGACACAGACAGAGAGGCCAGACACAGATAGAGACGCTAGACACAGACAGACAGACAGACAGCCCAGACACAGACAGACCAGACACAGACAGACCGGACACAGACAGACCACACACAGACAGACAGACAGACAGACAGACAGACACAGACAGTCCAAACACAGACAGCCCAGCTACAGACAGAGAGGCCAGACACAAACAGAGAGGCCAGACACAGACAGACAAACACAGACAGACAGACTGACAAAGACCAGACAGACAGACAGACAGACAGACAGACAGACAAAGACCAGACAGACAGACAGACAGACAGACAGACAGACAGACAAAGACCAGACAGACAGACAGACAGACAAAGACCAGACAGACAGACAGACAGACAGACAGACAGACAAAGACCAGACAGACAGACAGACAGACAGACAAACAGACAAAGACCATACAGACAGACAGACAGAGACAGAGAAGAGAAGCAGAAGAAGATAACGGCATGGGGATCGGGACTTTGGTGTCTCGGGTCCCTACCTGATCGACATTCGAAGTCTTGGATCGTGCGAACGCCATGCGTGGTCGGGATAGGGCGTTACCTAGGAGTACGACCCCTATCCCGATGCCAAGCATGTTGCGAAAGGCTCCCTGTAGCAAGAACCGGCGTGGGAGAGATGGCAGAAACCCCCCTTTGTCGGGACCAGCCGCTCCGCCGGGACTGCTTCTCCTCACCACTCCCTCTCCAGATATCCCGCCACGTGGCCGGCGTCTGTCCAGAAAAAAAACTTTAGAGGAAGAGGAAGAAGAAGAAGAAGAAGAAGAAGAAGAAGAAGAAGACGAAGAAGCTGACAAACACCAATTTCCCTCAAGAGGCAGATTCCTCTTACCGGGACTGAGACGTCGCGACAACGCCACACTGCGCGCCGATGACGTGGAGAACGTTTTGGTGTGCTCAGATCGGACCGTTGATACAGATGACGGTCTGACGGAAGATCGATGGAAATTCCAAGAGGAGGAGGAGGAGGAGGAGGAGGAAAAAGAAGAAAAGGAGGCCGCAAGGAAGGAGGAAGAAACAGGGCCTCTAATGCACGAAGATAAGCGGACTACCGGTCGCCCATGCAATGCCAGACGCCCTCTGATGCACGATGATAAGCGGAGTACCGGTCGCCGATGTAATGGCCGGGGGTCCGCCACCGTGGCGGACGCCAACGACGACATTCCAGCTTTCACATCTGCCACGTGGCAGAACCTCCCACGATTTGACAAAGTCGGGGATCGAAGAAGTTTTCTCGTGTGCGCAGCAGCCGCCCCCGGCTGGATTAATGCGTTGACCATTGATTGGATGACGTCAATCGAAAAGCGCAAGCGCACCGACTCCGAACGAGAGAGTCACAAAAAAGCCGCGCACTTGGTTTCCCTCCTTACTATGATTCGTTGTCCTTCTCCTCCCCCTGCTCCTACTACTCCGCTTCCCCTTCCGCCTCTGCTTCCGCCTCCGCTTCCGCCTGCTTCCGAACGGTCATTAACCTGCCCAAAGCAAACAACGGAGGGGGAGGAAGAAGGGAGAAGGAGGGGAAATCGGAAAAAATAGGGAAAAATAGGAAAAAATAGGAAAAAATAGGAAAAAATAGGAAAAACTAGGAAAAACAGGGAAAATAAGGGAAAAAAGGGAAAAAAAAGAAAGAAGTAAAAAAAAAACAAAAAAAAAACAGATAGTATGAGAATGTGTTTGGGAATATACGGTACTTACAGTAGCACTATCATCTTCAATGCATACGACCGTAATTGAGTTCAGATACATTCTCCCTACATATATTAGATCGCGGAGCAACAATAGCACACCTCAAACAAAACAAAACAAAAAACTTAAAATATTTCAAAAGAAAGAAGAGTCCGGCCTTAATGCGGACGGCCACGTGGTCGACGCAGCCTTCGAGGCATAGACAAGTTCGAAAGTTTTTTTTTTTTTGTTTTTTTTACTTATTATCGGAGACAACATGCGCAGCCTTCGAGGCATAGACAAGTTCATATTTTTACTTCAGAAATGTGGCCACGAGCATGAAAATCCAACAGGACCCGTTGTTATCTGTTGACAGCAACATTTATGTATGTGAGACCCCGCGAGATCATTCAGCCTGCCATTTGGACATTTCTGTTGACGACCATGCTAATTTTTCTCTCGAGATTTCCATTTTTCTCCAGATGTCCCGAAGGATATCTCTCTCTCTCTCTCTCTCTCTCTCTCTCTCTCTCTCTCTCTCTCTCTCTCTCTCTCTCTCTCTCAGCCAACCGAACCATCTTTTTCTCTTGTTTACGTCGGCGACACTGTCTAAATTCGAAATTAGCTGCGTTTTTCAAGGGCTCTCTCTCTCTCTCTCTCTCTCTCTCTCTCTCTCTCTCTCTCTCTCTCTCTCTC